TAACTCACACAGTGTGTGTGTTTTCATGCGATGGGCCGGGGCTATGGCATTACGCCGCCTGCCTACTGATTACTGGCTGCTTGGCACTGGAGCGAGACAGGGAAGCCGGCGTACAGGGGAAGGTATGAATATGCAAAAGCCTGATTGCTTTTCATGATTAAAGCCTATTTAATATGGAAATGAGAGCAAGCCAGGTGATTAAAGGAGCATTGGGTGGTGGGGCAAAAAGAAAAAAAAAGATGGGGGGAGAAACAGAGAGAGGGGAGAAGAGAGGAGAAGAGAGGAAGAGGAGAGACACCCTTAAATCCACACTGCTGCTGCTGCTGCTGCTGCTGCTGCTGCTGCTGGTGTAGAAACTGGACAGTGGTTAAGCAGCAGTGAAACAAGTGTCTGACCCGTTTGGGCGCAAAGGTCATTTTGTAGGTCACACCACAGGTTTCATCCTGAAACCTCTGTGAGTCATTTCAGGTGTAAAAACAAAAATCCCTTCATGCCAATTGGCTTGAGAAAAAAATAACCCGATCTTATCACGTTAAAACGCTCTCATGCACTTTACCACACTTTCACACCCGCAAAAAAAAATACACATGCAGGTGTGACAGTTTTAAAGTGGCGGGTATCTCGTTTAGATCCTTTGATCGAAAAATTCGAGCTTCCTACCGAACAAAAAAAAACCCAGCAGCCTAATAAAGTGACGCGCCCAGAGAAGTGACAGCAGGGAGATCGGAGGTGGCCGGAGAGATAAAGAGAGATGTTTGAGGATGTCGCCGTCGTTCACATCGTCTCATGAAATATTTACTGTGTGATCTCGACACACGGTGTTTGTGAAAGAAAGAGACAGAGACAGAGAGAGAGAGAGAGAGAGAGAGAGAGGGAGTCATGATGTGACTTGGCCCTCATGTACTGGATGTCTTAAAGTGCTCCGAGGGGGCCCCGCCAGCCGTCCTGGGAGGGGTTCAAAGCAGGGCCAGGGTCGTCTTAGCATGGTAACGCTCCCCTAGCGACAACCTCTCGCTCGCCTGGTGACACGCATCATTCTTCACAGACACTGCACAAATTCATACAAGGCACATATTAACATACCCTGACAAAGCCCACACATGTACACGCAGAGTGCATGCATCAGCAAGAGAAACTCAAGGAAAAAAAAAAAAAAATAGGGCACAGAAGGGCCATTTTTCATCTACAGCGCAGTGCACCAGAGAGCGTGCGTTTGTGTGTTTGCACCTTTTGGGGTTGAATCTGCTAGCCTTGCAGCATGTTTGCAGTTTAAGCAGGCAGCCTGACAGACAAAGAGGCCAGACAGGATGTTATAAAACACAACCAGGTGAGCAGAAAACAAAACAATCCCGGGGAGGAGAGGGTTAAGGGCTGTGCATACACACACAAGCATCTCACACACAACACAGAACATTATGTACGTTTCTATACCTGATGCACATTTTGTCATCACCTGTGCTGCAAATATTTGTGTGGCTGCAAAGTTCTCAGCACCACGTGCAGGCGAATGTGGTGATATTTCCTTATGTGTGTGTGTGTGTGAGAGTGTGTGTGTGTGTGTGCTGCTAACACACTGGACTTAATTAGCCCTAATAATGTAATCTAATTTGGTTGAAACTTGAGACTGCCTTGAGTGGCAATCTAATGTGTTGAACAAAGCTCTCCTCCTCTCTTTCATTTGGGGCTTCGAGTGCTTTCATGTCCTGTCCTCTTAGTGATAAGACTGTCTGTCTGTCTGTCTGTCTGTCTGTCTGAGTGACTAACTGACTGCCGCTCTAACAGGCTGACTCACTCACCAACTCGACATGTTTCTCCTCTGACCACCTAACAGACAAACTGCCATATAAAAACATGCATGTTTTCCTTCCTGCTGCAGCGTCTACAGTAGGTGAGCTGCAGCAAGAGGCCGTGTAACACTTACTAAATTCCCAACTGAAAAATGAGTCAACATTAAAACCTAAAATGCAACAAAAAGACGAGCTGTCTGGACTTTTTCTAATTACACCACATGATAAACGATCACTCTCTCCTCTCTCTGTGTTTTGATTTAAAGAAATGTTTCTTATTATTAAAAATATATCAGCTCTGACACCCAGAATTGTTTGTGATCTCCTTCAATAGATTTATTTCCCACCGCAGAAGATGGTGGCCACACACAGCTGCCGGCCACACACACACAAACTGTGCATGTGTGCTGATTCCTGTAGCGACGACACGAGATGTCTGCACCAGCTTTGATTCTGAGATCAACAAAACGTGCAGATCGGTAACGTTCTGAGACTTTGTGAGACATTTTGTAATATTTTACAGACCGGATTCATCTTACAGAACTCTGCAGTGAAAACTGTACAAACGAAATTTAACCAAAACTAAAATTAAAAGCACCTCCTAACCCACTTCTGTCTTGTGTTTGTAGGGTGTGGGTTTCGTTTTTGGGGGGAACACACGCGAGACGGGGGGCTGGGTTTGCTCCACCAGAAAATTTTGACTGTCAAGTTCTTCACTTCCTGCATTCTGGTGCAATGTCTGTGCACCAGTTTGTGCCTTTTCTGGACCAATGTGTGACGTAAATGTCTTAAAATAAAAGTGTATTTATTAGGTGGGACAAATGCTCATGTTCTGAATATTAAGGGGGACGTGTCCCCTTCCTCCCACCGGATTTTACGCCTGTGTGCCTTTTTTAAAATATTAGTATATCATTAAAACTCTAATGTGTAAACAATAACTGAGGCACAAAGCCTGGTGAGGTCACAAGTTTTGTTTTCTCAAATGCACAAACGGACATTCCAATAAGATGCATGTGTCCCCTTCTTCCCACGAAATCTCCACCTGTGTGTTTTAAAATATTAATATATTAGTAGTAAAAATCTTTGATGTGTGGATGTTACAGGTCTTCAGCTCTATATCTGAAGCATAAAGCTTTTCTCTTGTCTTTGTGAGGTCGCAAGTTTCGTTTCAATACTGGGGAGGGGGGATAAAACAAACAAAGAGGGGAGGTTGAGGGTCCTCTGCCAAACGTTTTAAGCATCAAACACTTCATTTCCTGCATTCTGGTGGATTTTTATGCCCCAGTTTATGGTGTAAATGTGTTTAATTTTATCAAACATCCTCTGCTACCGTCATGTTCTAAATATTAAGAGGGACATGTCCTTCCTTCCTCCTGAAATCTCCGCCTGTGTGTTTGTACTCATTAACTTTTTTAAATATAAGTATAGCAATAAAAAATCTCTAATGTGTGAATTTTACAGGTCTGCAATACTGTAACTAAAGCGTAGAGCTTTTCTCTTGTCTTTGCAAGGTGATAACTTTTGTTTTAGTATTGGAGAGGGAGATAAAACATATGAAAAGAGGAGGTTGAGGGTCCTCTGCACCAGTTTATGCATTTTCTACAACTGTTTATGATATAAATGTCTTTTATTTTATTAAAATTCTCTTCTATGTTCATGTTTTTATTGTAGGGGAAAAATGCACATGCTCTAAATATTAAAGGGGGTGTGTCCCCATCCTCCCCCTGAAATCCCCGCCTGTGTGTGTTTGTATTCATTTGCAACTTTTTAAAAATAGTAGTATATAATTAAATCTCTCTAATGTGTGAATTTTACAGGTCTACAATATTACAACTAAGGCATAAAGCTTCTCTCAGGTTTGCAGCGTCGCAGATTTTGTTTCAGTTTGGGAGGCGGTGCTCTGCCAGAACATTTTAAGCATCAAACACTTCACTTCCTGCATTCATGTGGATTTTTATGCACCAATTTATGATGTAAATGTCTTTGAGTTTTTCAAAAGTCCTCTTCTACCTTCATGTTTTTATTGCGGGGGACAAATGCACCTTGCAAATATTAACAGGGACCTCGTGTGTGGTTGTGTTTATTGGCAACTTTTTTTTTTAAATTTCAGAAAATCATTCAAACTCTGATAATGTGTGTATGATACAGGTCTTCAGTACTACACTTGTCTACAAGGTTGCAAGTTTTGTTTCAATACTGGGGGGGTATAAAACATATGAAAACGGGGGGTTAGGTGTCAGAAACTTTTAAGCATCACACACTTCCTATTTCCTATCATGCACCAATTTGTGGCTTTTTCGCATCAATTCATGATGTTAATGTCTTTAATTTTATCAAAGGTCCTCTGCTACTTTCATGTTTTGTTGGGGGGGATAAGGGGGACGTGCCCCCTTCTTCCCCCGGAAATTTATGTCTGTTTATGTTCATGTGGAACTTGAATAATTAGAATATAATTAAAATTCTCTAATGTGTGAATTTTACGGGCCTTCAGCACTATAACCCTCCATAATAATATTTACTGTCTTGTAGCATTTATTTACTTATTTTAAAGACATTTCATTACATGTGCAGTGCCGCACCTAACACATTCGGGGCCCTCGGTAAGCTTCCTCGACACCCCCCACCCCCCAGAAAATTATCTTATATATTTATTGTATTTACTACAATTTTAAAAAAAAAACTTAAATAAACAACAATAATAATAAAAAATAAAAGAATACAGTATGTTTTTTCTTCTTTTTGTACTTTTGTGTTCTTTGATTAGATCTTGGCACTCTCTCCTCTGAGTGGCCGCCTGCCTATAGGAAGATCTGCCCCTGTGTATGTACATTTAATACAATATATAACGCAGTGTAAAAGTCCACCCTTTACTATTTAAGTCTCTCCGTAACGCACCAATTGAAGACAGAGCGGTGAGTTTCTGTGTTAACTGTTCTAATCTTTTTACATCCCACAATGCAGCCGCCTGCCTCCTCTAACCGAGTCGCTCTTAGTCTACTGGAGTCTGTGTAATCCTGGATAGCCTTCCCAGCTCTCGGGTGTGATGGTGACTGTCTCCTCTGATAACTTTGAACTGGTTTCCCTGCAGCGCTGGCAGTCTACAGCCCCCCCCCCAACACACACACACACCACACACCACAGCCCCCCCCCCATAGCCAGATGAACGGCCTTGCTGCTTTATTAATCCCCTTCTCCTCACCACACACACAGATGAATTTTAATCAGCTTTCTTAACCTCTTTTTTTCATATGCTGCAGGATTTCTTTACAAAGACACGTGATGTGCACTCACACGAGCTAAAAAAAAAAAAAAAAACACAAACACACACATGCACACACACACTGGGGGCGGCTCCTCTATCACCTTCTTCCTCGCCTTTCACAATTGGTTTCAGCTGAAGAAGTCCTTCAGGCCTGCCAGTGTGTGTTTGTTTGGTGTTTGTGATTTTGCGTGCATGTGTGTATGTGTGTGTGTGTGTGTGTGTGTGTGTGTGTGATGTTTTACTTAGAACAGAGCAGAATAGACATACAGTGCGGCTCTCACTCACTCTAATGAAATCATCCCAGGCTACATTAATCCCTCCTGAAGGCCACTGTCAAAATAACAAGCAGCTGGGATTCTTTAAAGAGAGCTATCTGTCTTGGACAGGTGAGAGACGTGTGCAGGTGTGTGTGTGTGTGTGTGTGTGTGTGTGTGTTTAAGACATGTGCATCTACACTGACGACAGAGCTCTATTCAAAACTTAGAATTGAGCATCCTTATTTACAGTGTGCTCCAGTCTGCGTACCTCCTCTCTCCTGTTTGGGGCAGATCCCTCTGGCCGGCGTCAGCCTCCTCTCCAGGTCCTCCTCTCTGCAGGGGGTCACCTGGATGCCCACCTCCACCGGAATGGACCCTCTGCCCATCTCCAGCGACCTGGCCCTGGGCGAGATGGAAATGCCCGTGACCCCGTCGGTCTCCCCAGGCTTCGAGAAGGACCCCGGTCTGCTCCCGGGCCCCCGACACAGGCGGCGCTTGTGCTCGATGAAAACCAGGATATCGCCCAGAGGGAAGTTGGTCTGGCACTGGCCACAGGTCAGCATGTCATGCTCGCCTGCGCCCACCCTCCGAGGGCTGGGGCTGGACCGCTCCGGAGACGGAGATCCCGCCCCTGAGTCATGATTGGCATCTGCTGCAGAAATAGAAAAGAGACAAGATGTTTTGTTTTTTTTAAAGAATTAAATAAAGCAAAAAGAAAGTGAGGCGGAGTAAAAAAAAAAAAAAGAAGAAGCAGAGGTTTAGTTATTCCTGATAACATTACCTGATGAAAGCGTTATCTCCCTACCACACGAGATGATCATTACACTCACAATTGTGTCACTTTCATGTCACAAAACAACGCCGCTGCAAAGCTACGTCGCCTAGACAAACACCTGCGCAGCTTATCCAGGAGAGATCTGCGTGGGTGGGACTCGGCACATACACTGTATCTATCTGTGTATCTGTGTGTGTGTGTGTGTGTGTGTGTGTGCCTCTCTGTATGTATGTGTGTGTGTGTGTGGCCAGGAAGCTATTCATCTCACAGTGCAGGCTGGGTTTCCGGTGAGGGCCTTTTGCTACACTAAGCTGTCATAGCTAGACGGCTGCCTTCACCACGTGGGAGCCCCAGCTTGTGCAGAACAAAGTGTAGTGTAGCGGAGGCCACATCCACCACCAGCCTGTGTGTGTGTGTGTGTGTGTGTGTGTGTGTGTGTGTGTGTGTGTGTTCATGGTATCACAGAATAAGACAGCGAAAAGAAAAATGAGAAAAAAAAACCCAGTAAGACGTCTAAGTGTGTGTGAATGGAGCAGCACACAGGTGAGTTCGAACACGGTATTCTCCACAGACAGAAAATCTATAAAGCCAAACCCGAGGTCCTGTTAAGAGAGTAAATCTCATTCTTCACAGATCTGACACGGTCATTAATAACCATTACACATTCTCCCCCCGCCACCACCACCAGCACCACCTCCCCTATGGCGTAGACTGAGTCCCTCAGCTTAATCCCTCATGGACAACCTCCATTTTTTTAAACACCACCCCGATGTATGAAAATGTGTCCTCTTCTAAAAAGCCCGGAGGAAACCTGAAGCTCCAGAGACTCTAGGGGCGTCTGAGCGAGCGGGTACCCAGGGAGAGGTGTTGATGCCTGGGAGAGGAGCGTAGCAGCGCCTGCCTGTCTCTGCAGCTCTTCTACACACACATACACACACACACACACCCCTCCCCTCTGTCTTCTCTCTCTTTCTCCAAACATGACACCCTAATAATTGCAAAGATTAGACAAAGAGGGTGCGCGCCGGTTCGTGCGCGCCCGTGTCTCGGTGTGTAGCTATCAGAGCAGAGATCCTAAACTCTCTTATCACCCATCTCAAACTGCCAGGGAGGCGTTGCTCCTCTAAATTCCCAGTCATAACCGTTAAACTCGGGCTGAATGTTGCACAGTTTTACCCAATTTTTTTAGTATTTCAAATATTTCTTTTCAACTATGAATCACCCCCCTCCTCCCTCCCTCTCTACCCAACCACACACCCACACACACACACACACGTTCCAGTCCACTCGCTTCGCCCTGGAGTGATGATCCGATGCCAAATATCTTTTCTCTAAATGGAGATGGGTTCCTGGATGCCTGCCAAATAATTTCCATCTCATAATCTTTGGCGGCAAAGAAGGAACACAAACACATATTTACCTACAGTTCACAGCTTGTGACCATGATTCACATGAAGCAATGTTCCAGAGTGCTCACACAGGCCGAGGAGCTGTGCATGCATGCATGCGCGCATATGTGCGGCGCATATAAGAACGCGGGGAGAGCTCTGCTAACAATATGGCGTGCTTTTCGTTTCTGAGACAGGTGGCGTGAGAGCCAGAATCCTGAGAGTGAATGACAACATCAAGTCGACGAGATGACAGACACCTGGGCAGTTGAACTTTATCTCCGTGGAGACAAATAGATTGAGGCCTGTTTGTTAACCTATGGTTGGGTAACACGGCCCGGGGGCAGAAGCCAGTAAATTAGTAGGCGTTGGCACTGTCACTCTGCCACTGGAATATCAGTCGGACATCTTCTAAAAAAAACCGCACCCCTCTCTGAAAACTCGCTCGCTTGTCTGTCCCGAGGCTCACCTGTGTGAGAAAAAAAAACAGGTGCAAGAAGGAACTGAACCTGGAATGCTTGCAGGGGGAAAAAAAATCAACCGTGGACACAAACACACGAAAGAATAACACAGTAATGTAGCCTATCATCGTGACAGACAATGTCTAATTCCTCTGTATAAACTCCTATGTGAGAGGAACATGCTTGATAGGTAAGGGAGCAGAGCAGACGCACTGTCAAACATGCCATCGTGGAGAAGGCGTGATGATGGCAATGAAACCCAGCTGTCTAACATGATACCACACATACTTTATTTCTCTCTCTTGGTCTTTCACACACACACGGCGTTGTATTCACCCAATGACAGTCCTGCTACTCTGCCTTATCAAGTGTGAGTTAAGTCAGGCAGCCTTAGAGCACCCCCTATCAGTTTGATGAGGAGAGAGTCAGTCACTCTACTGCTGCTGCTGCTGCTGCTGCTGCTGCTGCCGCTGCTGCACACTGCCACTGCACAATATGTACCAGATGGGAGACACAGCTGAAGACAATGGGCCTCTTTCACCGATATTTCCAGTTGTGCAAAAGGTCGAAAAATATATTCAAACGCCCGGCCAAGGAGTGCTTAACGAAGGAACAATGGCGGGGGATTGTTTCATTTGCAGCTTTCTTTTAAAAATATGCAAATATTAAAATGTTTGCAGGAGTTGCTTTGTGATTTTACAGTCAGAGGTGGTGTGTGACGCATAAATGTGACACCCGTGTCTGTGTTTCTCACAGCAGTGGTCAGGTAAAACCAGCCAGGTGGATGAAACACGCTGAGGTGCAGGTAGACGAGGTTCCTCTCATGTCACATTAATTGCCCTTGTAAGTCCCACTAATGCCTAATTATTGCATTCGTCCTTTTATGCTCCTGTAAATGTGATGGCTCTTTTTGTTGTTCTCATTGTTGCCTGAGGTGAAGGTGAAGCAAATTAAAATTTCCAACACGGTTTGACAAGTTCTGCTCTGCCCCCGGGGTCGCAGGGAGAAAGTAAGAAAATGTCATTTTAGTGGAGACATTTGTTTTTATTTAATGATGTGAATCGGATGAGATTCTTCTAAGCGGCGCTAAACAGAAAGCGTGAAACTATTTTTCCGTTGGCGCTGAAATCCTGACCTTACACAACGTCTTAATACCAGCTGCACACTGTGTTCTGCTGGTAAAGGCAGAGTAAGGCCAGGGGCACTCAGATGACAGTCGGCCACACTGTATGGGTTCAGACCTGTCTCCCTTTCTTTGTTTTCCCCCCTTCCATTTGCTGAGCTAAACACACACACACACACACAAAGAGAGAGAGAGAGAGAGACACACACACACACACACACACACACACGTGTAAAACCCCACAGGGAAAGTCGGGTAAGATTCACGCTGTCATTGAAAATAAATGACACCAGCAATGTTGCAGATGGTTGCAATCAAAAATTCAAACAACAAGCGGCCTCGCTTAGCCTATCCCTTTTTCTCGGCTGTGATTGCCAAGCTGAGCTGCAACAGTGTGTGTTGTGTAAGGCCAGGCCTGTGTGTGTTTCATTATCTTATCACCATTTAATCTGTAGCAGCCTCGTTACTTATCATAAATCTTAGATTATCGGTCTGAAAGTGAGCAAAATACGGCTCTGCAGCTGACTGTGACTTGTCACTAAATCGCTTTAAATGACATGCAGGCTATGAGGCATGACACTCGGGGATGTAAATCAAATTTGCCAAACAATTTTAAGAGATATAATAATAATAAAAAACAAGGAGCTTTACGGCGTCGCAAAATTGATTAAATGTGTCGAATAATATTGAAATACGGAAAGAAAGAAAATCTGGGAACAAACTGCGATGGCCTCGCTGTAAATCATAAATCGCTCAGCAATCATCTCCTGTGAGATTATCATCCGGTTACCACAACGTGTGTGAATATTTACTGTGGTGTTGCAGTGCGTACGGTGGGTTTCTCCCCCAACGTTTGACAGCCATATGGTGCGAATAAAGACGAAAACATTAACTGTTTCACAAGTAGCATGCCAATTGTGAGAGTAAACAGTTATCACGAGGCGTTTCCACGGCTGCATCCAAAAACGCTCTGCAGCGACCCTGATATTAGAAAATGCAAAAATACCTCAGAGCAAGAGGCCTGTGACGCTGAACACCAGCGGTTCCACGTTAATGTGTGAGTAATTCATAAGGATATTCCTGTGATAGGTGTCTTTGTCAGGGATGTGACTCTGAGCTGAATCACTGAGTGAAAAGAGCCCAAAAAAGCCCAGAGGGGATGTTTGTGTTTTTGCCTCCCAGAGTGTTAGTGAAACAAAAGATGGGCTGTAAACTGAAGGTCAAAATCAACTCAGATGGAGCAGCTTGTTACGTGTGATTTGTGTGTGTGAACATACATTTTCAGAGTGATCAGTGCAGTTTCACAGTGTGTGTGTGTGTGTGTGTGTGTGTGTGTGTGTGTGTGTGTGTGCTTGAGTTGCAGTTACAGTACGTCTCCTCTTCACATCCTGGTAAGTAGATCTCCAAACCATAGTCTTGCACTGAGAGCCTGTCCAGAAATATGCTGATATTCAGGTTCTCTCTGCAGTAAGGTATGACCTATAAGCTCATGGCTGCAGGGCACGAGGCTGTTTGGTTAAACCGAATAACCCCTGATGTGACACGCAGCTGATATACGGTGTATGATTTACATCTTTGCAGGAACTTCAGAGACACCTTGTGACAGCTGACTGTGAAACGCTGCACACCCAGCCCAGTGATGAGGTCGCCTTAAAGACAATAAAGTCCACTTGTTTTTTTTGCCTGAAACATCCTCTGTGCAGAATATGCAAAACTCTTATTATATGTTGACTTAATCAAATTACAGTTTGGTTTTCCCCCAGCGCTCCTCAGATCCTCCAACCTGAAGTGTGATCCTGGTCCTCTCCAGACCCACCCAGCTTAAGGAAACAGCCCACAGCGACACGCAGCCTCCAGCCAGTGAATGATTGGTACATTAAAAACCATCCGTCCATCACAGCCACACATATCTTTATTAAGATATGTACATATGGTAAACATAGCTTAGGCGTTTTATGCAAATACATATGCATCTGTGCACACACACTGGCACACACACATTGTTCTCGTGGAGGGAGAACAATTGAACAGGACTAATGAGGCAGGCTTTTTTTTTTTTTTCTTGCTCATCTGTCCAGTTTGCTTTTGATCTTGATAGCACAAACAAAACAAATACCTGCAGGTCCAGTCCTTCCTTAATCGTGCACTTGTGCCTGTAAGGTCACTGAGGCCACAGCTCAGTGAGCAGGAGACAGTGTGTGTACCATGTGAAAGAACAGGTAGGACCAGATTCAGGCCCATGATGGCATCAGCATCCTACTGCACTCGCTCTAATAGCCACTTTAGCACAGCGTTGACCTCTGCGTGATCGAGCTCGACATTGAACATTTGTCAGCATTCACAGGTTTGAAAAAAATAAAATAAATCTCAACTTAAGTTGTTGTTTGACACTTGAAAGTCTGTGCTGACAGGTCAGCGGTGATTAAAAGGAGCTCTGAAAGCAGTCATTAAAAGCTTCAGGCAAGAACACATGCACCCTGGAGACATGTGAACGCAGCACGGACAGGGAAATTAAGAAATTTAAAGCTAATCTGTATCAGTGTAATTATGCAACTATCTACATTCAGCACCACAGCCTCACGTTGGAGAATGTGCTGACTGCAGCTGCAGCAGGTGCTCTGAGCTTCTTTTTGTGTAACTAATATGTAAAAAGATGTCAAACAAAGTGACCCATGTCTGGGAGGAGGGAAGGCAAATATTTAACAGTTAGTCCAAATTTGTACCGGTTCCCTAAAGACAAATGAAAATGTGCAAAACGTTGCAATTATTTGTCATAATTCATGCAGGTAAATGTTGAACAGACACACACACGCCTGAGGTGAAACTGCTGAAAATGTTGCACAGTAAATGTAAATGTATTGAGAGGAGGAGGTGGGGAGGGGGGTGGGGGGTGGGGGGGGCAACTCCACCTTAATTAACTGACAGGCAGTGAGGCTGTGACAGCACAGAGAATAAACTGTCAGATCAATATTCGAGCTGGATCAATATTTGTCATCTGCCTAAAATGTGCTGAGGATGCACCCTGCTTTCTCAATTAGAAAACAAAAACAGTGCTTAAAGCAAACATTTAGATCTCAGATTGCTCCTTAAAATTACTATAATTATTTCAAGTGAAAACTCAATAGGAGGAAAGTCAGTGACACGAGAGGGGGAGAGACAAAGTGAATGGGGGTAAATGATTAGTCTAAAATGCTAAATGTGTCGGGTGGGACGGAATGCATCTAACCCTTCTCAACACAAAACAGATTGGCCAAAGATTACATCATGAACTTCTGCAATGAATTACCCAGATTAGGCCTCTATGAAATTGGATTTAGGCAAAGCAGAGCGCTGGGAGATGAAGGTTAGATTGATATAATTGATTTGAAATTGGATTATGCGACTTTTTAATCATATGCCCACAAAGGAGAAAAAAAATCCTGCCTCAGATTTAATCTGCGCAATTTAATCACAATATTTGGTGGCAGCTCTGAAAAAGCTTCAAAGTTATGACCCTTGAAATATAAAAGTTCAGATTGACGTTGTCTCGTCTATGGTGGTTTTCTTTATAGGTGCAGACTGAATTTATTTCTGTGCACAATCTGGTTTTTGTTGTGCTCTTTAAAGCTCACCTTAAAGTGCAGAGAGGCCTTCACGTGTCACGGAAAATAATATACAGACTTTATGTGTGTGATGGAGAGAGTGAGACGGTGTTTTTAAATTAATGGAACATTTACATTAATAGACAGCTCAGCCCATCGAGTCCAAACTCACCAAACAAATGGGTTTTAAAATTCACTTAAACAAAGTACGCATGAATATACACTTTGCCACATGTTGCAGTGTGCTGGGAGAAAAAAATCAAATTTGTGTTGTGATGAAATGTTGCATTACACGCTTGCACGTGCACATGCGAGCACACACACAGACACACACACACACACACACTCACACACACTTAGCCAGACAATGTAGATGTCATAAGATCACCTCTCGTAGTAAAAGTCGTGTGAAGCTGCAGAAGGCGCGCGCTTGCAATTTCACCCAATTGTGTTCATAAATTTTAAAGGTGTAAAACAACTGTTATTACGTCAGATATTTACTTAAATTCAGCCTAATAAGTAAAAAGCATCATTTATTGTTTTGCTTGTGTGTGCACATGGTGAATTTATTTTCATAAATCACAGTTATTGTCGGTAATTAACTTCCTTGTTCGGCGCATTTTCACAGACTAAAAACAAAGCGTGGATCTATTTCTGAATTCTTTTATTTTGCTCTGAATATCTGAATTAATAATAATAATCGTGTATAAATGATTTAAAGCAGTAAAGTTAATCATAAATGAAGTGTTGGAGGAATTAAACTCACCTCGTACCGTCTCCCTGTGCGTCAACGATAAGTGCTGCGGGTTCACCTGCTTGCGGCGGGACATTGCCCCGGCATTTACTCTGGCATCGCCCGGTGAACGGCACTTGGAGTCGGCTTGGACCGTGGTGTCGGTCCTCTCTGGCTCGCAGGTGACCAACTTTTCCCCCCTCCTCTCCTTTAATCCCTCCGCTATTCACAGTCTTCAGCTGCAACTTTGATGCGCGCTCGGGGAGGTGAGGAGTCGGACAGGAGCGCAATAAGATCGATGGAAGACCAGTTTGTCCACAATGTCCTGCAGCGTCTTCGGAGGAAGCAACACCTGGATTGAGGAAGCCAAAGTGGAGTTTTTTAGGAAGCAGTTAGCGGCCGATGAGCTGAGATGTGCGCAGGTAATTGGTTTTTTTTTTTGTTTGTTTTGTTTTTTGCAATGACCTTTTGCAGATTTAAAAAAAAAATCCTTGTGCCCACCTCTGCAGCGACCGCGGTGACAGATGAAGCACTCCGCTGGTGGTGATGATGATGATGATGGGTACTTATTTGGCTCCTTTCCCTTTTTCTTAGTTCTAATGATATGATTATATCATCTGGGGTCAAACGGCTGCTGTTTATTCTAGGATTCCCTACAGTCCTTCCATTTCAGCAGTGGTGCGCTAAAATGACCCTTTGGCACTGACTCCTCCTGCGCGTTTTGGCATCGGTGCGCGGAACGGCAACTCTTGGCTCTGGTGGCAGGAGCCTCGTTGATTGAGAGAGAGAGAGAGAAAGAAGAGAGAGAGCGGGAGAGCAGGCGGGCAGACAAGACACCTCCTCCTCCTCCTCGTCCAACAAGCAGAGGTCCAATGTTTCCTAGTTTCCTACAGTGTCGAGGCTACTTCTTGTGTTGACTCACACGATGAAAGCGGCTCTGTTTGGGAGGACCCCGCGCTCCTGCGTGTGTGTGCGTATGCGTATGTGTGTGTGTGTGTGTGTGTGTGTGCAGGCTATGCAGCCTGGGTTTCTTTTTGTGTGTGAGTGTGGGTGTGTGTGGTTGGGGTTGCCTCCGTGGAGTGGGATGGGATTCAAGTTCAAGTGTGCGTCCGTGACGTTTGCGCGTCAGACACCCCAGGCGCGTGAAGGCGGCGGACAGCAACACGCGGACACTGGGGGCAGCTAGCGGCGGCTCCCCCCCTCCTTCCTCCCGGGGCTCCACACAGAAAGGAAATATCATTCATCAGTCTGTTATTCATCTCAAAGGCAGTGGAGTCACCACCCAAAATCCATTCTCTTACCAATTAAAACCCAAATGACCATCATGTCCAAGAGTCTTACCATGTGTCCCTTCTGTTTCTGCATAGGTGTAGATTTCCTTTAAACATTTGAGGACATCTGCCAGAAAAGTTTTAACGTCAAACACTTAATTTCTTGCATTCTAGTAAATTTTAATGCACCAGTTTGTGCATTTTCTGCACCAGTCTCTTTAATTTTGTCAACATCAAAGCTACTTTTACGTCTCCTCCCACGTCCACTCCCTTTATCACCCCAAACTTGTCAAATACAGCCACTTTGTCAGTGTTCTTGGTGTCAGATACACACACAAGCACCTTTCACAGCCATATAATACACACCGGTCAGTGGCATTTTGTGACACTGCCAGCAATATAAAAAGCGACAGAGTCCATGTAGGGAGGGTGGGAATGTTGGCGGAAGGGTCAAACCAACTTTGGACTTTCACCTGTGAGCCTGCTGTTCGGTTTCCTTGTGAATTTTATGCCAAACTATGATTTTTTCTAAACCTTAGTTCATGCTTTTGTTGCCTAAACCTACAAAAATCAACCTTCATTGTGAGTTTATTTTGAAGAAGACTTACGCCTGTGTGAGCAGAAACTGTGTATTTCCTGTTAAATGCAAATGTATTTTGAAAAGACACAATCCATGTAGGAAGGACACAGTGACACGCCAGCCGTGAACATCCAAAAGAGACCTTGTGCATCATATTTTGGCGAGTATGTCCACTGACAGAACGGCAGTATTTCACGCATTGGGTTAAGAACATGTTGGAAAGTGCATGTGTATTCTGGAAAGACACAATGTATAAAACAAATGTAAATTGACAGCCATCTATAAACGTCCACAACAGAAGCAGGGGAGTGTCTAACACGTCATATTTTGACATGTACGTCCACTGACAAAGCGGCACTATTTGACGAGTTGGGATGACAGTGTGTTGGACAAATGCACATGCTCTAAATATTGAGAGGGACATGTCCCCTGCGTCCTGTGTTCCTGTATGTTATGATTGTTTTGCTGAGATACCAGAAGGTTTTAAAATGGCTGGACTATCAGATTGAACACCCGTCAATCTGGGTTCAAAGGTCACCTTTAATTTATATTATTAATACTTAAGTAGTGTGGCATTCTAGGCTGTGTACATGCCCAAATAAAACTCATGCACATGGTCAGTATAAATAAAAAAAGACCTGTTCCTTTACATTTATTCAGAGAAGGTGGATGAAAAACAGCAGGCTGCATCTTTGTTGTTAATGTAAGCATGTTGTGAGGCAACAGTACCCTCTGTTGGCACAGTCAGGACACATTACAAACCTGTGCAGGGGGCTGACACCTTAACACTGCTTCACTATTCTTATTTTTAGAACGAAGCCTCCTTAATTTGCCATTTATACAATTCAGAATCCAAGAGAGTCCTTGAAGAGCAGATCAGGTTCACTCAGAGGCAATTAATGGCACTAATGGGCAATCATTCCGCACATAATTCACTGTATTCATTTAGATCAGTGTATGCACAGATAAGTGCTTTGTGCGGGCTACGGCTTGGCTAAGAACACACTCAAGTTTCCTTTTTTTATCCCACCCTCACCTTACCCATACAATTCAAACTCGCTCCGTGCTATAATTTGGTTGAAATACATTGTTGAATAAAAATATAAAGCCGAACACGGCCATTTAAAGTTGACACCATTTCCTCGCGGATCAGCAGAGAAGTGTGCAGCTATAGCAATGCATTTTATAGTCTGCCATTAATAAAACATGGTGGGCAATTTTAAGAGCATTAGAAGTTTGATTGCTTCAGGGCAGGCCTAGGGGACTTTCAGGACAGTAATTATTTATATAAATGAAATGTCATCTCAGCTCTGGCTCAAGTAGACATAACCTCAGCAGACTCCCACATGGAAACACTACAGCACAACAGCTCTCTTTCACAGATAGGCCGAGCATGTTGTCAAGCATATTGCTTTGACTGGAGCGCATAAATTCAGCATGTGATATTACACAGAAATGTCTTTGCATCGGGCCAAGAGAGCAACAGCAGTCATGGACACATTGGATGCTGAAGGAAAACATTATCCTGAGTTCACACGCTCTCTTGCTATCCCCGCTGGCTGCGAGCAGCTCCTTGATCCTTACCCATGGGTTTCTCAATAATACATCAATGTCTCCATTATAGCTTGTATCTGCTGGCTCCGGGCAAAGGCAGTTTAAGCTGGGTTGCACAGGGCCAATACACCACATATACCCTGCTTGTGGACACAGGAAAGGTTTTAAGTCCAAAGTGTTGCCTCTGAGGAGACATGCATCTCGTGTGGTAAGTGCCATCGCGGAGTCGGAGGTACCTGAACGCACCGCGGGACATACACAAGAGATGAGGAGCTGCTGAAATGGAAGTTTTGTCCAAGAGACAGGCTGACATTTTAAGTCCCAAAATGACCCAGGATCTTAGAAGATAACAAGATAATTTATGTTAAATCATAAGAATGAGCCCAGGGACAAAGTTTAAGTTGGGAGGCTCTCGCACATCAGTGGACAACAGAACATGGCTTTCATTCTGGGTCACAACCTTCGTCACATCCTTTTATCTTCCATTTTTCATGCCTCTCCCCTCTGTTTACTCTCTAAAGAATATCAAAATTGCTTTAATATCTTAAAATAGACCGACATATACGAGGGAACAACGCCGCTCTGATCGTATTGTAGTTTTTAAGAGCAGAAAAGGATTAAGTGTTGAGGTTAAGTAGCAGATACTCTGATGTGTTTAACCAGAGCAGGACTGACATAAACAATGAGAGGTCCACTCCAGGACAGCTCATGGTAATATGAATATTGCTCTGGGATTTGCTTATAGTCGGTGCTTCATTATGCAATGTTTAATATTAATAAAGAAAGTACAAGTATATATTATTCATAAGCTGATTTACTGAGGTTGGTGCGTGTGTGTGTGTGTGTGTGTGTGTGGACTTGAGTGACAGATTGAGATGCTCCCTTGCTATGGGCAATACGACTAGACAAGGCTCTTACTTTTCTACAGGACACATCCTGACAATTTCTCCCACAGTTAAGAGGATTTGTCCGAGCACGGGTGAATATATAATGCATGCAGATTCCAAATTTTAATTTGGACCAAGTAAATGATTCAATGCCGGCTTTTCTCAGAAGTGAGGCTGGAAGGGGGAACGGAGAGGGCACGAGATGTTACTTGTAGTCGGCTGAAACATTCGAGGCAAACAAAGGCCGTGATGATTAAATACGACGAGCTCTAATTCATATGACATTAGAAAGAGTGAAGTGAGTGAAAGGAGACGAATGAGCGGAGTTTTAATAAGTACCATTTGTCTTACTTGTCATACATTTCACTTATTAAAGGTCCAGTCTGTAGGATTTAGGGGATATGTTGGCAGAAATAGAATCTAATATAATAAGTGTGTTTTCTTTAGTGTATAATCACCTGAAAACAAGAATTGTTGTGTTTTTGTTACCTTAGAATGAGCTGTTTATATCTACATAGGGAGCAGGTCCTCTGCTACGGAGACACCAGGTTGCAAAGCCATGTTTCTACAGTAGCCCAGAATGGACAAACCTGAGACCCAAACTTTTATTTGATGTGCAGCTTTAATCTCTCCTAGCTCTTTGGGATCTGTAGGACTCAATAAGTATAAAAAACCAAATACAGTCAGCGATAATTTAGTCCCAATATTCAAACGAGTATTTCCTAATTAACAGCTAATTAGCTTGTTACCGTTGCTAAAACTGGTAAAATGTGTTGCCATATCAAACTACAAACATTATTATTCATGAATAAACAACTTTCAACCATAAACCGTGATCAGGTTTTGGACCTTGTCCACTTTTGTGTCGGGATCACCTGCAGACAGACTTGGCAGAGATGGCTGCCATCTTGTTTTTAAGAGGATGAGTGTAATGTGCTCTCACTATCACTACATGGCACAAAAAAGTGTCCACGAATGAGGACAACAGGTCTGAGTTAAGCAGAATTGAAGTATAATGTGCAGAAAATTCAAAATGTGATGTCCTCATATGAGGACACAGGGTCTCAGGAGGATAGATAGAGGCATTTGCATTTTATTGTCTGCCACTCCACAGCGAGGACGTTAAAACCCTACTAGTAACAGTCTGGATAAAGAGATTGTCCCAAAGTCTGACCATAAGGAGGAGGAGACACATCCTGATTGTGGAGGGCTTTGTGCTTTACATCTGCAGACCTTTGATCGACGTGCTCAACCAATGTTACTTTATTTCCATCCCATATGAAGAATGCAAAAAGAGGAGAGGAAGTGCTCTAGGAACTACATGTTGCCAGCCTCTTCGACCACCACGTCTGGCCCACGTATTTGAAACACAAGAACATCTACATCAACTAAAACTACTTTATTCAGTGTTTTTACAGGTTTTAATCGCCTAGTTTGTTTGTTTTAGAGAGGAGGAAACCTCTGCAGATAATTTGGTAGAAATCTCCTGAATGTCTGAAAGAAAAAAGGTGAGCACACATTAGCAGGTGCTGGGCTAACAAGCCATCTACAACATGCCAAACAGCATCGAAGAAACACTGATTTTGAAAGTGAAACTGCTTTATTCAGTGTTTTTATTGGTTTTAATCACCTTGTTTGTTTGTTTTGGAGAGGAGGAGACCTCTGTGGATAATTCGGCTCCTG